TCTACAAAAGTCTGTTGCTCCTGTTCTACTGTTACTGACAGCAAGTCCACCAACTCCATGAACTGGCTGTCTGTGATTTTACTAACCAATTTTTCCAGAATTGAAGCATGCCCTAGCCTGACAATAATGCCATATATGCCAGAAGGTCGAAGTAGCTTACAAACCACAACTAACCATCAATAGCTTTTTCCGCACCCTAAAAAGCGAGACAATTCTGACTGCCAGAAATCAGACATAATGTACAAAGTCAATTGCACACAGTGTAATTTTGTGTACTATAGCCAAACAGAAAGATCAGTAAAGACCCGAATTGCAGAGCACAAAAAGGCAGTGGCAGGTTTTGACAAAAACTCCAAAGTTGCAAGCCATGTCCACCATTTCAGCCACAACATGAACTTTGAAAACGTCAAGGTCTTTGGTTTCGAAGCTAATTACCACAAGCAACTTTTCCTCAAAGCCTGGCACTCTACTTTGGACCCAAACGCTGGGAACGATCATGTACTTCCAGAAGCCTACAAAGGCATCGTGCGAGCATGAATTACATGGTCACGTGCGCAAGCTTTGTATCGCGTTACTTTAAATAGCATATGACAACAAACTTCGCTTTCATATCACTGATGAGGGCTCAAGCATTAGCCAAAATGTTTGTTGAAAAATATCAAGAGTCAATGAAAAACCTTTTTCCATAGAACTTATCACATCTCCTGACTACATTTTTAAACATACGCCAGATATGTTTGTTTAGTTCAATGCTGTGCCTTTTGTTTGAATTACTGAATTTGTATTTTATTTTTTATTTTTTAATGCAACACACAAAAGCTAGTTACAATACAATCATTTACAGTTCACACTTCTTACCTGAANTCAATGCTGTGCCTTTTGTTTGAATTACTGAATTTGTATTTTATTTTTTATTTTTTAATGCAACACACAAAAGCTAGTTACAATACAATCATTTACAGTTCACACTTCTTACCTGAATTACTGAATGACAATTTGTGGTTTGAATTTCTGTTCTCAAAAGATTTTCAGTTAGGCCTGCCAGGTTTGGAAAGCGTTGTTATTTTCTGTTCAAATGCTCACTTGGTAGACAACTGATTGAAGCAATTTCCATCCTTAAGACTCTCAGCTGGTTTTCTGCAGGTGCATGTTTTATTGTTTTTTGTGGTCATTGATGTTTTGTTTGAGGTTGGACATGCAGCTGTAGCTGATCTTAACTGTGTAAGAATTAAAGATCTTGTGTAACAAATGCTTCTTGGAGAATTCTGGATTCAGGAATTTTTCCTGTGAGCTAGAAAGAGGCTGTGGTTATACCTCTACTGAAGAAATTAGGTCTTGATTCAGTGTAAAGAACTTGCATCGTGTGAGCAATTTGGCCTACATCTCTAAACTTACAGAGCATGCTGTATTTAATCAGACATATGACCACATCGTCCGGTCAGGTCTTTATCTGCTGATGCAATCTGCATATCGTCGACACTACAGTATAGAGATAGGGTTGGTCAAAGTCGCTGATGATATTCTTTTAAATATGAACTAGCAGCACATTACACTACTTTTAAGTGCCGTATTCGACACAGTGGCTCGTGGAATTTTACTTAGACGCTTGAACACAAGATACGGTAAATGCAGAAAGACTCTAGAGTGGTTTTCATCATACTTGGCCAGTCAGTAGCGTAGCCAACATATTTTGTTCAATGGAGTGAAATCAGATAGCTTCGATTTGACCAGAAGCACAATCGGGGATACAAATGTGTAACAAAGGCTTAAAAACAAATTTCTCAAAAAAGTACCATACTTCTTAATTTAGCACTTTGTTTCTTGTGTCCAACCATATTTGGAAGAAAAACAGTAAAAAATGCTTATAAATCAAAAATTGAGAATTACCCATCATTCTTTGAGGGTGTGGGTACTAAACAGAAACCATCAAATCTTTCAGTTTCTTGCTAATTTCTGGCTTAATTTTTCTATTTTTAACGTCATGATGAGAAATATGAAAAAATGCTCATAAATCAATATTTAATGATCACCCATGATCCTTTG